CCCGCGGCACTACTGTCCTCGAAAACTAAAAGAATAAGAAAAAAGGAGATGGTAAGCGTCACCCGTGTATGCGAATTACCATCCGTCTGGCCATGGCAAGACAAGACAAGCTGTAGAACACTCACCCTCCTCAATGGTCTCTGGCATAACGTTGTTGGAGATCTTTCGACTGACGGGTAGGGAGACCTCGTCCTCGACGTTTGTAACTAGAGATGAAGACTGCTTCCGCGAAGTGGTGGCGCTCGGGACATTCGATACACCAGAAGAGGCAGAGTGCAGGGCCGCAGAACTGCCCTGGTAGACAGAGGCCTGTGTCTGTCCCGTGGCCTCACTCTGCATGACGGCCAAGGACTCCTCGTCGTCATCCTGTTCTGCGGCAGCGCCGCCGAAACGATAGCCGAAGAAGGGATAAAACCCATTTCTTGCGCCAAAGACAAAACCAAAAAGAACACATAACCAACGGATTGCTCTCCCAACAGCAGCAGTAGGGAAATACTTCTACGGGGGGTTAAAGATAACGGTCATGATATCACAGACCACACGCAAACCGAACTTACTTTACATCTTCCAAGAACTTAGAAGTGAGAGTGAAATTCGAACGGAAATCCTTCCAGGAACGTGAGTGCGAGACCTGATCGTGGGGAAATGTGGTTTCCACTATCACTGTCTCGTCTTCTAGGTGGCTTAGATTGTCTTTGAGGAGAGTTGCAAAGCCCGGTGCCTCTGTGGCTACCGCCTCCTCGGCAGGGCCGGCCGCACGCACTGCAAACAGAAGCGCTAGATGTGAATATTATGAAAGCACGCTATGCAAGGGTATGAACGCCAAGGTGACTGGTCGTTGCAGTGACTTACTGGTACCGACTAGAACCTTGGCCGAGAGCAGTTTCAAGGTGGGCACCTCTGCAAGCGAGGGATGGTTCAGGAGAAACTTGATCCGCGGTCGGCTAGCAGGGTTGGGATCAAGGCAGATTTCTATGAAATTTCGCTGGTGGGGATCTTGTAGACGGTCCAACATCTGTGGCAGCCTCTCGGCAGCTGGTAGATTAGCTGCATCCAGAGCTGGTGTCCAAGCAGCAATCTTGGAGGAAAGCGAGAGAGACAATGGAAAAGCCAGCTCGGTCATCGCAACCTCCCAAAAATGACAACGGAAACACCAGACTGTATCACCAGGGGAAAACCAATATTAACAAGTAAGATGTTTCTTCTGTAAATCCAACAAAACCCAATCTCTTTGCGGTCAGTTCTGTCGTCTTAGCACACACGCACACACATGTGATCGTAGATTGAGGTTTTTCTGCGTTCTCCCTCATTTGGCCCTCGCTGGAGATGACCATTCTCGGACTGTTGATTTCATACTGGATTCAGCAGGGCTACGCCGTCATTTAATTTTACATTTTCCTTGGTATCCTGTTTGTATGCAAACTAGTGGGTTTTACTACCCTAAATGGGGCCACGTGGCAGATGTGTGGGACCGACACGGGACTCAGACTAGGGCATGGTAGGCATGATTTAGGTTGCGTTCCCATAATAAATGCCGAACACTGGGACGGGAGACGTTGATGGTATGCGTAGGTAATATGTAGCATAATCCCAAGAGACTTTTCAATGAGCGTTCATCCGAACGCCTGCAAAAAGCTCTCGCTAAAAATGATAACTGAAGTGATGTTTATTTTATGGACTTTCGACGACCCTAAGGATTCAGACACATTCTACGAAAAGCGCATAAAATAACGTTTCTGGTACTCAGTGTGTAATAGGTTACGTCTTCAAAGTTTTCCCTCGAAGAAACGGTAGATTTCAGGTTAAAAAAAGTTGTTTAAGTAGCAGCGTATCTGTCCGTTAAGTAGTGCTCTTTATGACGTCTACAACGTGATTCACGTGGATTGCAAAATGTTACGAACTACGTATGGCATTTTCCTAGTTAAAAGGCGCAAAATGATAGCTTGAAAGCCTTCAACGTAAGAGAAATAGGAGGTAGGGTTTAAAATAATTCGGGAATTTGAAAAAAAATGTTTTAAAACTGGAAGATAACCCTTCTTCACGCAAACAATTCGAAAGGGTAATTTACTATAAAAGGAATACAAGAAGGCATATGGCATATGTTTTCCGTAGAACATTTCCGGAAACTTGGCAGCATTTTCATTGCTGCTTCGCAAGATTCCCTTCGGA